TCAATTCCACCCTCAAGTGACTGTCTGTGTGGAGTTTGCACATTCTCCCCTTGTGTGCATGGGTCCCCTTCAGTGAAAAGCCTCTCACCTGATAATTGCACAATGATATGCTTTTAAAATTGAATACAATATTTAACTATATTTTAGTTAACCATGCCTAACGGATACCTCTCTGGGAAGTTTTCTTTCTTGTGGGAATGTATTTATTGTCTATTTTGAAGTCTTTCCTTAAAATACTGCCACTGGTTAGATCCCACTTGGAGTATTGTGAGCAGATCTGGGCACCACACCTTAAGAACAATACATTGCCTTGAAGGGAGTATAACGTAGGTTTGCGAGAATGAAACTTGGATTTCAAAGGTTAAGTTATAAGAAGACATTATACAAATTAGACCTGTTTTCTCTAAAATTTAGAAGGTTAAGGGATGATCTCATCAAAGTCTTCAAGATATTAACAGGAAAAGACAGGTTATTTCCACTGTTTGGAGGTTCCAGAACTATGGGGCATTGACTGATAATTAGGGCCAGATCAATGAGGACAGGTGGAAGAGGTTTGGAACTCTCTGCTACAAATAGCAGTTCATGCTCAATCAGTTGTTCATTTTAAATCTGAAATAGATAATACTTTTGCTTAACAAAAAGCTAAGGAATAAGAGCCAAAGGCAGAAATATAGAATTTAGCCACAGATCAGCCATGATCTCATGGAATAGCAGAACAGGCTCAAGGGGTTGAATGGCCTACTCCTGTTCCTATGTTCCATTGCACCTCTGTTGATCTGACTGTTAACTTAATTTTCTGGTTCACTTTAGCCAGTTTTCTGTATTTTTCCACAGCAATTGAAGTAAGCTTCACAGGACAGGAGGCCAGTTGTGCCTTCTAAAAATTTTTTTTACCTATTTTGCCTAATCAACCTGTTCAGAGATGTTATTACACATCTCTGGTGCAGGTGTGACTTGACCCTAGGCCTCTTGGCCCAGGGGTAGGGACACTACCACTGTGCCACAAGAGGGCCCCCAGTCGTGCCTGTTAAAAAGCCATCCAGTTATTTTTCCTCCTCTCTACCGTTATCCTCCTTTAAAGTGGATATCCAATGCCCACTTAAAAGCTTCTATTTTTCATGCAACACATTCCAGACCACCAGAACTCATTACATTAGAAAGAAGTCTAATATCCCCTCTAGTTCTTTTCCCAATTATCTTAAATTGGTGTCCCCAAGATACTAATCCTTCTCTCAGTCGAAAGAGTTTCACATTTACAGTATTGAAACCAAAACCCAAAAAACACTATAAAACATTCTATATTCTTAATTTGAAATCATGCAAGGTTACTCGCATAAACCAGTTGGTAAAAATTTATCTGACTGCCACACTATGATATTGTAAATAGTTTCAAAGGAACTCCGCACATAATTTCAAGGACACAGCAACTGTAACAAAATGCATGTAGGTCCAACTGGGAATATGGATAAATTGGTTGGTGGGCAAGAGTAAGTAGCCTCCAGTATTTCACTTGTCAACTTGGTATAACTGTAGCACTCTCATTTCTGAGAAAACAATTGTAGATTCAAGTTGCATTTCAGGACTGGAATGCAAAATTTACGTGCTTCCCAAACACTTTGCTATTCTGAGTCTCAACTGAGGCTTGAAATTTGTTGCAATCTTGTAAGAAATGAGGGAGTGGGGATCTGTTGGAGCAGGAGAGTACAGCTCGCCATTGTTGCCTCAGAGCTCGTCACACCAAAATTTCAGCTTGCTGAAGCTTTGCGAAGACCTGATCTATACTAATACTTAATTGAACATTGAGGGAGATCTGAAACATCAGCACTGCTATTATTTGACTAAGATCTTAGCTGAGACCTTATCTGCTTGTTCATGTAGATGGAAAAAGAACTGTATCACACCACTTGAAGAACAGTGTCTAAAATTCATATTTCCAAGCCAATAAAATGGATTGTGATACCTTGTGTATCATGGTCACTGCATATTACAAGATTTGAGAATGGGCAGAAAGAAATGGTAGAAGCAAACGTCAAAGTGTCAAATATTTATACAGCTAATTTTTGTGACTAAACCTCTGAAATAAAGCTATTAGAAGTATAGAAAATTTACAATTATCTCTCAAGTTGAAACCATTTACGAATTTGGTGGTTTAAACGACACCTTCTCATATCTAAACTTAAAATTGTGCTCATAGCAGGTAAACACCGCCACAAAAAGAAAATAGAGTCATACAAGTTTACAAAGAAACAAACAAGGTGCAGAATGCCTTGAAGTTCCAGACCTTTAAATTAGTTGATACTATATTAAACCATAATGCTCGTTTACCTGCTCTAAATTCCATTCCAGGAAGTTCCACAAAATACATTTCTTTAGATTTCACCTCACTGACATTGGTTGAATTTTGCTCACGTAGTGGCTCTTTTATATAGTTTTCATGTAATTCAAATCCTTTCTTCTTAATATGCAACATCTGTTCTGCATATTTTTGATCTTCACCAACATTCTTCAATGTTCCCAGTGTGTGTGCAAGATTGTGGCGACCATGCCACAGGTACCGATTCTTAGCAAGGCGGCTGACCATATGCAAGCTTTCTAGAACATTCACAATATCATAGATACGCCTACGTTCAACATCTATTGAGTAAATAAGTAGAATTTTGTTAAAATGATGCAGATTACTATTCGTTGGCTGAAAATTCACACTTTGATCCTTCAGGATTATATGCTTATCATAACAGTATCTATTAAACATCAAGTTTTACAATAATACTTACATCATCTAACCTAATGTGCTCTTCTCATCTCTATTTATTCTCCTTTCCTGTGTATGGCAAGGATTCTTGTGCACATGTCAAAGGTTCTCAACAGTCTTCTTTTAAATTATTTTACTGGCTTTATTCATGTGCAGGTCTAAATAGTGAAGGCTGACTTTACATTGTGTCTAATCATTTATTGTCTGATAAACAAAAGTGCATAGTGTAACATTGGAAGTGGAACTTCTTGTTATTTGTTAGAATCACAGAACGGAATTCCCACAGTGTGGAAGCAGGCTATTCAGCCCATTGAGTCCACACCAACCCTGGAAAGGGCATTCCACCCAGACCCACCCTCTACCCTATAACCCTGCATTTCCCATGGCTAACCCACATAGCCTGCACGCTATGGGCAATTTAGCATGGTCAAGCCACCTAACCTGCAAATCTTTGGACGGTGGGAGGAAACTGGAGTACCCAGAAGAAACGCATGCAGACATGAGGCGAGTGTGCAAACTTCACACAGACAGTTACCCGAGGCTGAAATCGAACATGGGTCCCTGGCACCATGAGGCAGCAGTGCTAACCATGGAGTCACTGTGCTGCCCAAGATGATCAGCAAAGCTGAATAAACCTACACTTATGCAGTTTTATGTTCAGGTTATTTTTAAATAAGGGCATAATGTGGATTAATTATGAGTACCATAGCATATCTGGCCTAAAATCAATTAAAATGGTAACTGGAAGTCTACTTCAGGAACAGGAACACCACCAAGCATTTTTCATGGAATAACCTGGTATTACAGTTTTGGAAATCTCATTTGCATTAAGCTCCACATACCATATACACCATATATCAAAAGACTTAACACCTTAAAGTAAACCAAAACAGCTTAAATGGGCTTGGCTGTGACATTTTAGTTTTAATTTCTCAGGGAAATGCATCGGCCAATCAGACACAATATGTCGGATATCAAATTCTATCAAAACCTAGCAGTTAATTGTCAATCATCATTAGTAATTGCATTTTCCCTTGCAATGCTTATACTTACTAAACTAACCAGTTGGCATTTCTCTGTTGTAAGTCAATAGGACACTTCTTCAGTACCGAAGATGATCAACTGGACATGAACTGTGAATTGTTTCTTTCTCCATTGAGAGTTTCTCCAGCATCTTCTGTTTTTATTTTACACTTTCAGCACCAGCAGTATTTTGCTTTTATTAAAATAAAATGGCTGTTCGGTCATAAAGAAATTAAGTAATTGCTGGACAAAAAATAAGAGACACTTTGTTCAATTTTTTGTTTTGCATCTGTTGGTACAATTCACAAGAACACCAATGCAACACTTATACTGTATAAGGGGAAAGTGCTAATTGGTTGGCAAGTGGACTTGATTGGCAGACAACTAATGATGATTAACAGTTAACTGCTGCCAGGCTTTCATAGAATGTGAAATGAGGAAGGTTGATTCTGATTAGACAGTGCATTTCCCTGAGAAATGAAAGAAGTAGAATGGCCAAGCCCATATGGTCCACTTGACCATTTGCAAATTACATCATTGCCGATTGCTAGAACTTAATCTCCTGTGAGAGGTTGCCAACTATAGGCAATACCTCAAACAAAAATACTTTATATCTGAAACTAAATCAAAACCAAATGCAGTAACTTTCAGGCCTTATTAACATAACATTAAGTACTGCATCTCCATCCTACATATTTACTCAATGCAAGATATGTGCACCAACTCACTCAATTCTGCTGCTACTTCATCCAAGCATATATCGTTGTTCAGTGCAGGATTGGGATAATCAGGGTATCGTGCCAGGAATCTATAGCACAACAAACCCAGGCTTTTTTCTTTGCGACTTGGATGAAATTTCTCAAATTCTTCCCCAGATAATTGGTCCTGAAATGCAAATAGAAACTTTACATGACATTACTTCATTGTTTGGAAATGTTGTAGTAGTATTCATAGGTTTTATTTTTATCACGTTTTGTTCTCCAAGTCTAATTTTGTAATGATGTAACTCACCACATTGAGCTTTGCTAATGGACTACAATACGTACTTCTGAATAGTTCCTGTACCTGTAAATTCTCATTAGTCTCTGAAGTAAGATCATCATCCACAAATAGCTCCTGTTTCTTCTTTTCTCTGCTCCTAATTTCTGGACTAGCTGCACTGATTAACATTTTCAAATTAGCGGTAGGTGTCCATGGCTCTCCAACAGGTGATTCCTGAAGCTTTGTTGGTGTCGTCATGGCTCCCAAGTCTGGTTTAATTGCTCCCAATACTGAATGCGAGGTAGACAATTGTTGCTTCAGTGGAGTTTTTGTAGCCTTTTTATGTGGTTCCAAAAATATATTTTCCTATTTAGAAAAACATGAAAATCCAAACATTGTGGCATCTTGCATCACTTTTACCACATTGTAGAGTTAATACAACATACACAGGTCTGCTGTGTTGTAAACAGCACTTTTTTCAAAAACAATTAACTAATCACATCCTACTAAAACGACAGCAGCAGTTCCAGGGAACCAACAAAACCTGTAAGTCCTCCTCCAAGCAACACACCATCCTGCTTTGGAACTATATTACCTTCAATGTCACATGATCAAAATTCTGGAGTTCCCTTCCTAACCACACTGTGGGTGTACCTGTACTTCATGGACTGCAAAAGTTTAAGAAGGGGCTCAAGACAGCTTTCTGAAGGACAGCTAGAGAACAGAAATAAATGCTGACCACATCTGATGACTGTCTAAATAGTAAAAAAGACATGATATTTCTACCACATCAAAATAAATATTTAAATAAATGTTATCAGATATTAAAAAGCTCTGGTTTGAAACTTGTCCTGCACTTTCAAACAGCAGCTGAAAGGTGTCCTTCTGGCCTAATTATTCTGTGTTAGAAAATTATCCTTATTCTTCCATGCATGTGAGTGTCACTGGCAAAGCCAGCATTTGTTGCCCGGCCTTAACTGCCCTTGAACGTAGGTCATTCAACAGTCAACCACATTGTGTATGAGTCTAGAATCACAAGTAGGCCGCATCAAGTAAAGAAGGAACTCTGCCATTCTTCGAGGACATTAGTGAATGAATTGGGTTTTCATGACAATAATAGCAAGAAGTAGCTTTTATTCCAGAATTATTAGTTAACCTGAATTTACATTTCATTAGCTATGATGGGTGAATATGAAGCATTAGCCTAGGCCTTGGGGTTTCTAGCCCTGTGACATTATCATCTATGTTCCCTTTAATTCTCCATTTCTGAGCGCAGCCGTGGCTGGAGGAACAGATGTGAATGTGTTGGCATGACGTCAGCATGTCGAATGGAATGCATGCAGCTGCTTGGCTTGAAGGGAACAGTGATTAATACTACATCATCATCTCCCTATGTTCAGTGATTGCTATTAGCATATAACGTGCATTTCAGACACGATACTCAGCTTATACTGTCTAGAATGGAGAAGGATGAACCATCCATTTGGCTGAAGTCATTAGTGAAATAAATTGAATGGTCAAGATGTACAGCTTTTACTGTGACAAAGGTCACTGGAGCAAGCGTAAAGTAATTGTGAGAAGTTAACACTAGCTCTTTAGCATCTTTTGTCTGTCACAGGAACTCTTGCCTCACGAGATCATTAGCACACGCAACACCATGGCAGGACTAAGTCACACAATGTATACCACAGTACATTACTTCCTCAGCAAAGTGGAAATGGGACAAACTGCAAGCAACTCACTCTTTGGTTGATTTCAGTAACATCTTCTTCAGGATTTCCATTTCTATCAGCAGTATTCAAGCTTTCGCTTAGATTTAAACAAACGCTTGTCATCTTCTTTGACTAAAAATCATAACAAATTATCATTTGACTTTTATCCAATGTTAAAATGTTTTAATCCAGTCATCTGACCATAATTAAAATATAGGTTTAAATTAAGTAGTTTGCAAATTGCAAATGATTTTAATCAAGGTCAGAAAAAAAGTCTAAAAGGCAGGCAACAGAAATGAACATAATTCTTTAAAACAAAATAAAGTGTACAGGTGAGCCTTAGTAAAGACATAATTAGCCAAAAGAAGGAAAGTGAATAGCTCAGTTGGCTTATTAAGCTGGCATGTGGCTCAGAATAATGACAATAGTAGAGGTTAGGATCACTGTTTTGGTTACAGTAAACTTGAGGCCTGCTTTTTTGCCCTGCCACCTGATAAAATCACATCTCACATCATATTTCAACGCACCTGAGTAATAAGAATGCTAACTGTAGATGGAACAACTGAATGGTAAGAAAGTCTGGTACTTATATAGCACTTTTCACAACTTCGGGAACGCACAAAGACTTTACATCCAATGAAGGCCTTTTTGCAGGCATGCAAGTTGGAAGTAGGAGGCTATTCTGGCCATTGATCCTGCTCTATCAATCAAGAAGACCGCAGCTGATAGAAACACAAAAGAAATCTGATTGTAAACTACATTCCCAGATATCCCTGACAACCTTTCAGCTCTTGCTTTTCAAAATTCTGTCTACCTCTGTCTTGAAAACATACAAGGACTTTTATTAAACTGTCTTTTGAGGAAGTGAACTCTAAAGGTTCATCACCAACAGGAAAAAGATTCTCTTCCTCTCTGGCCTAACTGGGCAACTCATTATTTTGAAACGGTGGCCCATAGCTCTTGAGGCATTCTTTCAACATGCACCCTTGCCAAAGCCCCTGAGGATCTTATGGAGAGACCGAGAAAACTGGTGGTGACTTAACCTGAGGGTCACGACACCTGCAAGGGGAGAGTTGATAAGGAAAACCCCTCATGGTAACATCAGCTGGTGCAGGAATTCAACCCACTCTTTTGGCATTACTTTGCTTCGCAGACCAGCAAACTGAGCTACTTGAATCAAATGGTCCCTTACTCTTCTAAACTCCAGTGGATGAAAGCCTACCCTACCCCACTGAGTGCAGGGATAAGGAAGCAAGAGCCAATTTGTGCACAGCAAGCTCCACGTACAAAACAAAAGGGAAAACAGACTGTGCAAGGGTCTGGTGATATGGTTGGCGAGGATTGATGGATACAAAAGAGAAAGAAACAGTTCAGAAGGCTTGAAGTGTAAATTATTTTCAATGAGCAGAATCCACAAGTGCCATCCTCCCAGCCCAGTGCTGTGCGTGAGGTCTCTTTCTCAGAGACCAGGTGAGTTGGCGGAGATAGGGGAAAGGGGGCGTGGTCATAGCGAAGTGATTGGCATCGGAGAGCGGCCAATCGTCGCCACGTTACCCAGAGCGACCGTCCAAACTCTGCCGGCGCTATACCAATGAGAGTAGGGACAGGGGGCGGGGCTCACCCGCCCGCCCCCCCCGTTGAAGCCTCATTCCCCGCCCCCCTTCCACCTTTTGAAATTTGGCGCGTAAACGAAAACATCCCGCGCGCGCCCGCGCACCCGGTCCATCACCGAAGCGGCTTCGGAGCCCAGTGAGTGAACAAATAGAATAATAAAAACATATTTAAAAACAAATACCTCTCAAGGACGGACAAACTCCTGAGGAAGGGCGGTTGGATTTGATTTGTTGGCCGGAAGGGTTTGGGGGTGTGTGGCGGGGGAAAGAGATGGCGGGTAACGTCTTTCCCTCCCTGCCCTGATTTCAGGCTCCGACGATGGTGCTGCCCGGGGCGGGGTGGGGGGGAGGGGGGTGGAATGGTGGCGGGTGGCACTAGACCCGACCTCCTCCTCCTCCTCTTGCTCCGGCAGTCGCTGGGTAAAAGAAATGAACAAAACGCTCGGAACCCGGGCACAGCGCTTGCACCTCCCCGCCCCCAAACTCCCTTACCCCACCCCCCCACCCCAGCCTCCGCTCCGGCTCGCCGTGAGGTGGCGGCGGTTTAGCGGGCAGCGGGTTTGAACGGCTTTTCCCGCGCGGCAGCGGGTTCCAGAACACGAGCCCGGGCCGTTAGAGTTTGAATGTGAGCCCGTGGCTCAAAGATGGGGGTGGGGGATGGGAATCAGAGGGAGTCGGGGGAGAAAGTGGGGAATAAGAGCGGGATGGGGGAGAAAATGGGGATTGAGAGGGAGAAAGAGTGGAAGGCAAGTAATCAGGTGGAAATCAGTGGGATTAATGAGAGGGGGGGAAATCAAAGGGGATAATCAGGTTGAGGAGATAGGGTACTGATAAAAGGAGGGGGCCTGATCGGTCAGAGGGTGTTGGAAGGTATGAGGCAGGGAGAGAAAAAATATTTAGGGTAAGAGTTTCGGAGGGAAGTAAAGCACAGTGGGGTCGGTCAGGGAACAGAGGGGGGAGAAAGAGGCTCTCATTCCCCCCTCCCCCGGGTTGGGTGGGTTTGAGGAACAGCCTCTGGGAGGGGCGCTTTTTAAATCCTGGGCGCAAAACACAAGACCCCAAATGGACTTAGCAGAGTGGATGCCGAAAGGATGTTTCTCCCTGCGAGAGAAATTAGAACTAGAGTACACAATCTAAAAATTAGGAATCTCCTATCTAAGATAGAAATGCGGAGAAAGCTCGTGTCTGAAGGGATCATGAGTTTTAGGAACTCGCGCTCTCTCTCTCCCCCAGGCAGCAGTGGAGGCAGAGTTACGGAATATTTTTTAAGGCACAATTTGCTAGATTATTGACTACCAACGGAGTCAAACTGTATTGGTTGTAAACGGGAACGTGGAGTTGAGACTACAATCAGATGAGGCATGATCTCATTGAATGGTGGAGCAAGCTCGAGGGCTGAATGGCTTACGCCTGTTTCTAATATATTGGTATGAATCCTGAAGCATAGGGCAGAGGTACTGCTACCAATGACAAACGCCTGGTTCTAACCTCAGATAACAGCCTTCATCATTTAGTGTAAAAATCAAGTTTGTGCAGATCAATGCAATGTTTTGTTTACTTTGTATAACGGCTTGTTGTCCTTCCCAGCTTACTTCACGTTATTGGCACCAATGCCAACAGCAAAAGAGGACCATCAATATAAAATAGATGTGGCAATTTTGGATTGTTTTAAACGTAACAGGCAATGCCTCAAACATTCAACAGGTCTGGAAACCTCTACGGAGAGAAGCTGAATTAATGCTTTAGGCCAACTTAAAAAAATCGAAAATGTGAAGGCACCAAAAAAAGTTCCAGATGTGGGTACAATTATAACGTTGAAAAGATATTTGGATAAGTATATGAATAGGAAAGGTTTGGAGGGATATGGGCCAGGAGTAGGCAGATTGGAGTAGTTTATGTTCGGTATGGACTGGTTGCATCGAAGGGTCTGTTTCCGTGCTGTATGACTATCTGAAAACATCATCTCCAGAACTGTCTGATATTGCCTATATGATCAGTAAGTCGTGCACGATTCAGTTTGTGATCTGACAAATACAACCTCAAGAATAAAAAAAATGCAATGGTCGGGGGTGGCGGTGAAAGGGTCAGAGAGTGAATCCTAATCCTCTTCACCCAGGTCAAAAATGAAAGATGATCCCCACTTGCAGTGAGTGCAGTTTACCCGCCTTAATACAGTACTCAGAACCCATGAAGGCAAAAACCATACTCTACAAGACAACGTAAATACGTGTTGCAAAACCTTACCCGAACAAACTTTTCTTGTTAATCACTCATTGCTTTGTTGGTGAAAGATGAATCTGTTCCATTGAACTCTTGCCATTGTCATTTAAAAAAAAAACTCCAATAAGTTAATATATAAAAACTCACACAACACTTGTGATTAAAGTTGCCCGGGAACTTCCTAAATGTGAAACACTGAAATGTTGGATGGGGTGGGAGTTTGAGGTTCATTTCGTGTCCTGTTTCACCGACTCCGCCCCTCTAGAACTTCTCCACCAATCAGGACCTTGCCCAAAAACTTTTTCTGACCAATCCCAGAACATACATTAACTTTTGGACCGCCGGGTAAAATTGGCGGGGGAAAGAGCGCGCAAAAAATAAATAAGGACATCAGTTTATCCTTCGGGTGAAGGATCTGCTTCCTCTCTCACTTCCTCCCTCGCCACCTTCAGGACATGTATGAACTGTTTAATGCTAGGCGGTATATTGCCTCACATATATTAGCAGTTCAGTTTCCACTAATTGCTTTAAAAAGTGCATGCGTTCAGGTCACTGACATTTGTATAAATAATGAACTGTTATACGTTCCAACTATATGGTAGCTTTCTCCCAAACCTGTTTGGACATCTGCTCAATGAACGCGTTACTGCTGTATACACACGTATTTCAACAAGTGCAAAAGGCTGTTTTCTTCAAAACATGTAACAAAAACAGGACAAGGAGTAGCAGTATAAATAGTTTTAAAAGCTGGTTTTTGTTTGAACCACAAATAAGATATGTATTAATGGTGACAATGAATTGTCCAGAAGTAAGCGTGGATGAACTGGTCGGAATTTTTTGTAACCTTTTCTCACGTAGTTCTCAGTGCAAATTGAAATCGTGAAAAGCTGACGGAGCCGGAATTTTTTTTGCAGACTTCTCGATTTTAATCGTTTGACAACGTTTTGATTTTTTTTGTTTTTCTTGAATATTCTCAGGTTATTTAGACAATCCAAAGTCAGTTTAAAAAAATGTCCTGATCAAATTCAAACTCTACAGAGCCATAGAGTTATACAGCACTAAACAGACCCCTTGGTCCAACTCGTCCATGCAAACCAGATATCCTAAGCTGATTCATTCCAATTTGCCAGCATTTGGCCCATATCAGTCTAAACCTTTCCTATTCAGATGCCCATCTAGTTGCCTTTTAGATGTAATTCTTAGAATCCCTAGAGTGTGGAAACAAGTCCACACCACGCTCAGAGCATCCCACCCAGACCCATCCCCCTATAACCCACCTAATTTACACATCCCTGGACACTATGGGCAATTTAGCATGGCCAATCCATCTAGTCTGCACATCTTTGGGAGGAAACCAGAGCACCTGGAGGAAACCCACACAGACAGGGGGAGAATGTGCAAACTCCACACAGACAGCTGCCTGAGGGTGGAATTGAACTCAGGCCCCTGGTAATGTGAAGCAGCAGTGCTAACCACTGAGTCACTGCAGCCTCAACCACTTCCTCTGGCAGCTTGTTCCATTGGAAATTAAATTAGTATCAAATGATTGCAAGTTGAATACTGCTTAATTCATCAAAGATGGAAGGCTGATACTACAATGATGGCGTCCATCATTGCATCAACAAGACAAATCTTGTAAAAGTTTCCAACTTGGCTGTCACCTGATGTTTGAGGGTTTGCAGATATATTCTTTATATGTATGCAATATTTTTGGAGGATCTTGAAGACCCAGCATTATGGTTTGATCAGGTCAAATAAGATGAGCATGAATGAGGTAGTATGATTTGTTCTTTCTGTGCGTTAAGGCATTTTTGCTCTAAATGAAAATAAATAGTGCATATTTACTACTGAGCATCAAGCGTAGTATTTTCAGCAAGATAATTTACCATCGATGGTAATTGAAGCTAGCCATCAGAAGTCAAGAATGGTAATACCTGAAACGTTGACTGCTCCTTTCCTCCAGATACTGCCTGGCTTGCTATGTTCTGCCAGCCTCCCGTTTGTCTACATGCAAAATGATCATCTTAGAAGAGAAATAGAAAGGGCTATTTGACCTTTGTTAATGAGTATAATTAGTTTCTGGTGGCTGTAAATAATAGATGGCATGGAAGTCAAAAGTCACTTGCAGGATATGCTTCAGAGAAAGATTTACATAATTTCGTTGTTGTGAAATACTATACACTGCTGACCCCACTGATTGAGCGGATGCATCTTCCATTGTGGTATTAAGACATACTGAATTGAGAGGGCCTAAAATCAGCCACCTTTCTCATTTTTGATCTCTATTCAGTGCAGTATTTTATTATCGGTATTGGCTGAGGCTAAGCTTGGGCTATACTAATAAAAACAAAAGCAAAACTTTGTGAAATGTTACACTGTCCACAACCATCAGACTAGCTCAAAGCACTTTACAGAAAGTGAAATGCTTCTGAATTATTACTCTTGTAACAAAGGAAATAGAGTGGCCAATTTGCGCACAACAAATTCCCAAAAATAACGATAATGACCAAGTATTGTTTTGGTGATGTTGATTTAGGAATAAATATTGTTTAGGGCACCAAGGATAGCTTCCTGCTCTTCAAAATTATGCCATTGGGTCCTTAATTTATATTCATCCAAGCAGACTGATAGAACTTGATTTAATGTCTCACCCAAGGTGCTTTGGAATACCAGCCCTTATTTTTGTACTCAGGCCTAGGAGTGAGACCTTAACCTAGAAATTAGTTATGCACAGTGATATGACTACATCAGGTGCATTCACAGAATGGTTTGTGAATTATTGATTTGTTTTTCAAGAGTTTCAGACAAGGTAAAGGTTATTTTACTATTACTAGTGCAACTATTACTGAAAGTTACAAAGTAAAAAAAATGGAAGTAGAAAAATATTAATGCGATGATTAAATGGTGGTACAGGCAAAAATATACGATCTTACTTTCATTTTTGTAGCTAAGATTGTTGCAGGCCTGTTTCTTGCTTGGTGTTTCTTTTTCTGAAGTCGAAAGCTGGAAGTCAGAATTCAGGAGCTATGATAGCCTCTCTAGTTGAGATTGTTTGTGCCAGTGGACTCAGAAGGTAGAACAGATTTTAGGGGAGAGAGAGAGAGGTTCCTTGTTTCACACCAGTTCTGCAGTTATGTCATTTGCAGATTTCCTGGACTCTTTCAATAGAACCACAACTGATTTCTGAAAGACTTTCTCCTTATACTTGCTTTGACTGCTGTGGAGGTGCCAGTGTTGGACTGGGGTGGACAAAGTCAAAAGTCGCATGACACCAGGTTATAGTCCAATAGGTTTATTTGAAATCACAGCTTTCGGAGTGCTGCTTCTTTGTCAGCTGACTTCACCTGAAGAAGGAACAGCGCTTCAAAAGCTTGTGATTTCAAATAAACCCGTTAGACTATAACCTGGTGTCGTTTGACTTCAGACTTTGTCTTTTGAGTGCAAGTAAGCTACTCTGTTATACTGATTGATTATTGTAAATTAGTTGTCAGCACTGTTCTTTGCATGCTTTGGATTATTTGGCAAATATTGTCTAATTATAGAATCACATCTAATTTTGAACACTGTGTTTCAAGTTTTGCAAACGTGGACTGGTTGGATATCATCAGAACCTTGTTTGTTGTGAACAACTGAAGGATATGCTGTCTGATATGATCCAACATGCTTTGGGGTGTTTTCAGTCTACATACCTGACATCACACTGGCACTGAAATTCATGTACCAGGTTACTGATGTATGCAATAGGCAGAATAGTTTTTTGGCTTGGTGGCAGAATCCTGTTGCTACAGCATTGTAGTAGCTTGAAACAGCTAGTTTCACCTGTTGCCTTAATATTTAACATACCTTACTTTTCTAGGGTAAACTGAGATAAGCAGGGCACTTTTCACCAAATAAAAACCGAACAACTGCGGATGCTGTAAATCAGGAACAAAAACAAGTTGCTGGAACAGCTTAGCAGGTCTGGCAGCATCTGTGAAGAAAAAATCAGAGTTAACGTTTTGGGTCTGGTGACCCTTCCTCAGAACTTCGTCAGTTCTGAGAGTTCTGAGGAAGGGTCACCGGACCCGAAACATTAGCTCTGATTCTTTCTTCACAAACGTTGCCAGACCTGCTGAGCTTTTCCAGCAACTTCTGTTCCGTTCCACTTTTCACCAAACGTGTCAGCCTTAAACTCATTAATGAGTTTGTGTGATGTACAAAAAGAAATGATCTGACTAAGGTAGACAATATCCCTCGGATGGCTTTGATGTGCTTTATTTCAGTATCAGTATTTCAGCTTGTACAGTGAACAAATGGCTCAGGCCCTATTTCCAAGGTTGCTGATAAAGCTAATCTTAAAGGGCATGGAACTGAAGGAATGCCAACATGAAGCTGGATCAGAGAAGATAGGCTTGTGATTGACATTATTAGGAGAACCCTTGACCAATTTCTCAGTTAGGACATTGAGGAAAGGGAGCTCACGTGTTTGCTCCATTTCCAAGGTGAATGAGTGCAGGATAGAATCCATTAAAATACGTAAGACAATTCTGACATATGGTTATAGATTCAAATATAGCAAATGTATTATTTACATATTGGAAGTATGCAAGGGGCAGGAGACTAGGTGTCTCCCAAAGACATGTTTCTCATGAAAACCAACTGCATGAGTTGCTGAGTTCAGAGGTTCAAATGCTGATTCACACTGTGGTGGTGGGTTAAGATCACCATGATATACTGTTGCAATGCGTATCTGTATCTTCCTTAAGTTATGTTAGCATCACTAGCAGGATGTTGTCATTAAGCCAAAAAACCTTCTGCCTATCACACAACAAGTAATCTGGTATATGGATTTCAGTGCCATTGTGATGCCATGTATGTAGGCCATTTGTCCCAAAGACAATCTAATCATCGTATCAAACACCATTTCCTTTTTGCTGTTCTCAATAAAACAAATTACTGAACATATCCAACCAGACCATGCTTGCAAAAGTAAAAACTTAGTGTCCAACATTAGATGTGATTCTGCAATTGGACAACATTTGCTAAATAATCTTGAATGTGCAAAGAAGTGGGCTGGCAATTAATTTATGATTGCCAGTAAAGATTGCAGTGTGGCACACTTGTGTGTATTGGAAGCTACTAGGAAGTACCCTGTAGT